TGATGACGTCAAACCTTGTATTTCTCATCCATGAACTGCGTTCCCAAGCCGGACAACCATCGCTTCAGGCTGGGCGGCAAGAAAATCAGGAAAGTGTCCACGACAGAGATGAGATAGCGCGGGTCTACGTCACCAGGCTTGTTCAGACCTGTACAGGGGGCCAGATTTGTGTTAGCTTTTGAGTTTGTTTTTTGTTTTTAGTAAAAATTAAAAGTGGGAGAGTCAGCGATCTGTGAATGTGGACACGACCAAGAGGATGCCAACCATATCCTTCAGCACTGCCCGCGCTACGCCACCCTTCGCACACAGACGTGACAGAATGTGGCTCCCCTTGAGGGAAGGCTCTATGGCAGTCTCTCAGAGTTGAAGCGAACTGCATAGTTTGTACGCGACATCGGACTGACTGTCTAGCTGCTGTCATCGAGAACGAGGAAGAAGAAGAAGTTTTAGTAAGAGTTTTCGAAAGGGGAGGACTACCGTAACGAGCAACCACTATAAGACAGAGCAGAATTGAGGGCTAGGGGTAGGGGTAGATCTAGGGATTGGGGTAGGGGTAGGGTTAGGCCTCTTCTTTATTGTGTTTGGTGGGGTGGTCGCTCGTAACGGAAGTCCTTCCTTCGAAAGACCAATAATTAAAAACACCAGAAAAAAGACAAGTGAGATTCTTCGGCCACATAAATAGATTAAAAGGACTGCTGCCGTGATGTGTGGAAAGATAGAGAGAAAGAAGAGTAGAGAAAGACAAAGAACAACATACGCAGATGGCATAATATACAACTTTGCAGTGGATGTCACAAAAAAGAAAATCGAGCTGATCGGAAAGACAGACAACAGGAAGGAGTGGGGTACCATGATCGTCAGTGTCTGCTTCAGAACTGACACCTGAAGAAGAAGAAGTGTTTTGCGACACTTGCAACACAATAAGGTCATTTTAAGTGCCGAAGATTAGAGGTGTGACAAGAGAGTAACAAGCACAAAAAGAAGGACAACTAAATAGACGTTTGATAGATAAGAAGGAGCAAACCACACGAGAGCACCCGCAAACCGCACACGCTTTTGAGTTTGTTTTGAGTTTCATTTAGAGAAGCACATCGTGCGCTCATACGGCCTTATGCAGTTTCCAGCGCCATAAAAACCTTACCAAAGAAGCACATCAACACACGATAGAGGTCATTTTCTGCACCAAAAAAACGCGAGACAGATAGACAGAAACAAAATAAGAAAAGAAAAGAAGTAGGACCTACCACTGGCACCCTCCAACCAGTCCTGTTAGTTTTAGTTACAGTGATAAACAGGGCTGAAGGCTGACTTGTGTTTGGCAGGGTAATCAAACTGAGACAAATAACCAGCTAAAGATGAGGCCACACAAAGAAAAGCTTTCCCATAATTGTAGGACAATTGGTCGCATTTAATTTAGCACAAGGGGGCTATCCCGAAAAATGCAGTTTTGAGAAAATCGAAGGTAAAGTTTTTGCCCCTCGTTCAGTTTCTTTAAAATACAAGGAGAGTTTTCTCTTTAACCAAACAAATATACACACCAACGAAACTAAACTTCTCCTATAGGTAGGGCAATGCCCACTTTTGGCATAGGGCAAGATTTCTGGAAACCCCCGAAATCTGGGTTAGCCCGCTTGTCCTTAAAAGCGAACAATTTGAAATAAAACTTATTCGATGAGGCATCACTGGGTGGTAAATAAAGACAAATCGCGAATCCACTGTATATTTACCCGCAAAATAAGCTAGAAAACATCTCAGACAACCGCTTTTATTTTTTGTTTGTTTGGTAAGAGTTTTACGGCGTTCACAAGTGCTTAATAAGGTCATATGAGAGCGCAGGACACATTGAACATTTTTCAGTGGGCAAGAAATTAAACATTTTTCCAGGGTTGCTGCCGAAGCCTACTCCTATCGATTTTGGACCACAAAGGGATCTATAACATGCCCAACTCCGAGATTTTTCGCCCTTATTCGAGAAAACTAGGTGAAGATCTTACCTACTATAATATCAGGGGTGTGGCTGAAAGACAGAGGTAAGAAGGAGCCAAGAAGTAGAAGTAGCAATAGAAAGGCTGCGGAAAGAGTTAGGGTCCTAGATGAGG